CTGGCCCGATAAATTCGGACCCTCATTAGCCCGAAATTTTCTCGATTCCACAATGTATCCAAAATTCGACTTTAAGATGCAAATTAACGGATTTCTCGACCCAATAAAGTGGAAAGTTCGGAGCAATTTTATCAAGAGATCTGTTCGCTTCAATCTCCATTAATTTAGCGGCGTTTCATCGGGATGATTGCAACCGAGCAACAAGTGAAAGAGCACAATTTGGATTCCGCTGGCTTTGATCGCGATGTGAAATTGACTTTCTTCGATAAAAAACATTTTTTTGCTACACTATGGGCGACGCGTCTCGCTCGCCACTTTGAAATTACACCCTGCGAAGAGGTACCGTTTCCAAAGGGGGCGTCACGAGGCCAGACACTTTGCGCGGCGTGAATTTATTTCTCGTCATTAAGTCGATGATACATTTCGCGGGTAACCGTTGCGCGATAATTTCCCGGTAATTTGAAGGAGATCTGCTACCGTAAGAGAAGATACGAGAAACCGGAGGAAATTTGAACAGTGGTTGGAAATACACGGAAGTTGATCGAACGAGAAAGTTCCGACGAACTTCGAAAATCAAGCGAAGTGTACTAGGAGAACACGTTTGATCTAAATTAGAAGCCGAATTACCATCGTCGGATTTCCAATCATTTCTAAAAATTGAAATTGAATTCGGCTGGCGAAGAAACAAACAGCTGGGTAGTCAACGGATGATTTAATGCGGCCGTCACGACGCGACGTCACGATCCTCGTCGCGACGAGGCCACGCGTGACAGCCGTTTCTTCCTCTTGGAAATCTGTCTAGTCGCGTGGCACACGTTACCCAACGCGTCTTTCAAAGATCCTATCGTCCTGCTTTGACGTCCCATCTCGTCCATGGGGCTAATTAACTCTACGAACCGAAACGAGAAACTCGCCGTCCCAAAATTTTTGAAACAGCTTGTCACGAGACGTCTGAGTGCTCCGCATAATTATTATTTGAACGTCTGAGAAGTCTATCTCTGCCTAATTAATACATATATACAATCACCGTGGATCGAAAGTGACCCTCGTCTCTGACATCGAATTTTCCACTATATTATCGCTCCACTGTTCCGAAAATAGTCTACAGGGAGTACTTAGGTTATAATCAACGAGCTTGTGCACCGTTCGATTAGAATCGACCTGAAATGCCTCGTTTCGACCAGCCTCGAATGCGTATCCACAGCGTGGCACGAAAATACCGATCGGAAAATGTAATCTCGCGGATCGAGCGTTAATCATTCCCTCGCGGGACCCGAACACCTACGCAGTATCCACAGTGATCGGGGCGAACCGATAAATCAAGCATCCGGATATTTATTATTGCGCGAATTCCTGGCGGACGGCGCGCGCCAGGAAAACTGGCGAACGGGCGAAAGGTCATTCCCCGGTTGGCCAATAAATTTAATTAACGGATAGGCGAAAGCGTCAGAAGCGTGGACCGCGTGTCGATCGATTCGCGGGGAGGGAAAAAATCCCGCGGACCGCTTTCTGGTCTCCATAAATATCGATGAGGCCGGTTCTGGTCTAGCGGAGCAGATTGCGTAACGTTTCAAAGCGGAATACCGAATGAAGCGTGCGGATACGCGCATCGGGAGCCTCGAGGGAACGAGCTATCCTTTGTAGCCGAGAGGAATGCCTTTGTATACGCGGAATTAGACGTAGAGAATCGATACTGTGTTGCGAATTTGTTTAGTTTGAATTCTTTGAGTGCTGGGTATAAATGTATGACGTAAATAGAAGCATACGGATGTAACGTACAGATAAGTATGTTTACTTTCGATTTACCGAGTGACGAAACCCATCTGGTCCGTTCTAGGAAACCGCGTTACGTTTACGTTCTTTTTTGCGTTAGGGAAATTCTCGCCCGAGGAAGCGAAAGTCACCGGTCGACAACGTACACAATGACTAATTGCTCTATTATTGCGTGATAACTAGACTTGCGGATCTTTACGCATTTACAGGAAATTTGAATGTACAAGAAACTACAAAATGTACATGGTATAGAATAATATAAAAAAATATTGAAAGTTTGTATTATAATATTTGCAGGGTTTGCAAAGATTTTATTTTGCATAAAGATTCGTAGTCTAGTGATCACTGATACATATATCATTTTCATGAAATGTAAATGTTCATTTGTTCAACGTGGAACATGTCACTCCGAAATATAATATAATAATGATATAAATTTTATGCATGTACATTCAACCGTGTTACGTGGTGGCCATATTTCATCATAAATATAAATTATATTCATGTTGTTTATAATTTATATATACAGTCAGTGTAAGAAGTATTCGTACAGCAATCCATTTAAGATAAATCGAACCTAAATAGGAATTAATTTTATTCTGCAAATATTATAACATGAACTTTACTTTCAATCTTTTTTATATTCTTGCATATTGTTTGCATTTTCTATGTTCTTGCACATTTAAGTTTCCTATAAATGCATAAAGATCCGCAGTCCACTTATTACACTGACTGTATACACATTCGATTGTGTTACCCGGCTATATTTTCTCATAAATATAAATTTTGCTCATATTTGTAATAATTAATATTAAAATATTATCAAGTAAAAACTCACATATTTCATCGTCGTCAGGGATCAGTGGGTGGGAGGTTGTCCATAGCTGACCATCGACCATGTACGGGGGCTGGCAAGAGGGAGAGGACGAACGGCAGCACGAGGTCACCCGTTCGAACACGACACCGTCTTGTCGAAACAGCAGGATCTACCCCCAAGCACGCCTCCCGGTAAAATGGATTCAGGAAGATTCCGCTAACGAATCCGCTGATTTATCGTCCGTTCGGTTAGCCCTCGGTTTTCTCCGTACCGCGTCGGTTTCCACGCGCGGCCAGTGGGGCGAAGAATTATTGCTTTTCGGTCGTAGAGGACGGAAATACGAGCGCGGTTTGTTCTGTAACAAGAATCACTGTATGGTAAATAATTACGGTGGCAGCTGGGGGATGACTATCGGAGAAGGGGATAGAATTAATAGACGATATGCTTGGACACACGCCCTATTGGATTTCAGGGCTATTATTTTCATCTACATCGGCCAAGATTACAGCTAGAGATGGGTATTAATTTGGTAAAAATAATTCTTGGCAAAATTGAATGTTCCCGT